TTTACATTCTTAAACGTTTCGTCTAACTGTCAGATGCTGTGAATCGTGACAACTAGTATGGCAGACTACTTCGGACTAGATGCGTTCTACATAGTCCTTCTGACCACAAGACCAAGTTGCGACAACGAGGTGAACCCACTTGTATAAATCGAAAGCAGACTGCGACCACACCAGAGGCCACAACGTCTTGATCTTCATATCTTCAAGTAAATCGGATAGTTCTTAGAAAGAGATGTCGAGAAGAAGCAATACAACGCAACGTACGGATCGTGATGAACAGATGTAGGAGCGGGGATTATGGAAGAAAAACGATTGATAAGTCTATTCTGCTTAGCACTGGCCAGGAAGCTGTGGCCGAAACTATGGAAATGGAACAGTCATACAAACTTGTAGGAAAGGACAACCCGAAGAAGTCAACAAAATGGAGTGCTCCGGAGTTTACGGCACAGACGGCAAGGACTGTAGGCAAAACTAGATCGGAGAGAATGGACGTACAATCAACACAAGGATCCAGTGGATACGGAAAGATCGCAAATGGCCGACTACTCGACGGAAAGACTAGCCTCATGTGGGGAGTAGACGAGAAAACGGAAGATCAGGAGGGCTGTGGATATCCTGTCTCCAAGAGACCTGATGAATAGAATATTGGAAGAGCAAAGAGTCGGCAATGATGTCGCGTACTGCCTGGACAGACTTGGAGATTCAGCGACAAGAGCAAAAAGAAGGCGCTTGGAGCAAGGACATCTATTCAGCACCAAGTCAAGACATCTTCAAGTGGAGGAGCATGAGGGACAACGGGAAGTCAAGAGAAGACGATTTCAGCGAGACGAGTCAGACTTGGAAGAAATCTAAAAAGGTTACCGGTCCAGGATATGCCTAGGAATGAGGATAACCCTTTTTTGCAATCCTCGAATATGATGTAAACGAGGAGCGCAATAAAAGCCTCATAGACAGAAAGACAGACAGACAGACAGACAAGTGGGGTCGAGACAGGGCAAATGAAAGTCAGAAGACATGACCCAGAAACCATGCGAATGACATGTGAAACTGGGGGTGAAGGTTATTACACTTTAGAAAATCCATTTGAAGCGGCATTGAGGGAAACGAGAGCGCAGAATTGTATGAATGGGCAAATGTGTGATATAAGGTGGGTTTGAGGGAAAAATAGGACAACGGATGGGGGCGAAGAGTGATGCCACAAATGTTGAACAGGAAATTGGTCACTTTGATCAGTTGTAAGTCTGTGCGAACGGTGGCGTCGCTCAATGAGGATGCCGGCGAAACGTCTGGCAATCTACCAAGCAAACGGTGCGAGACTGAAAATGCTCGTGGATACTTTGGCAGAGGAGGCAGAACGAGGTTTGCTCCACAATGTCCCCATATCGCCTCGATCAAATTACAAAAACGAGATATATGCGAAGGAAAGTTGGGTTTCGAGGACTTTCTTGTTTCATAATTGTTGAGCTGACTTCCATTTCGACTGGAAGTGTTGGGTGAAGAGATTCGAAGGTCGGTTCCACCAGAAGACGACGGCGGATTGGCTTTACTGGAACATTCATGCTGACACTGTTTCCGAAGGCAATCTCACTCGATTCCGGTGAAAAGGGGCTAAACTTTCGTCCAGCATATGACGGACATCATCAGAGCGAGGTAACATCGTTACAACCAAACTCAAGATAACCTTCAAAAAAACAGCGTCAGCATGAATGTTCCAGTAGTTTTCTTGACTTATTATCGTGAATTTGGTTGTGACGATGATGCCTTGTTCTGATGATGTTCTTCACATGACGGCCGAAAGCGTAGCATCTTTTCACCGGAATCGAAGGAGATTGCCTCGGCAACAGCGTCAGCATGACTGCTTCAGTAAAGCCAATCGACAACTGGTCAAGAGGAATGCGTTGCTGGTCGTTTTCTGGTGGAATCGAGGT